AAAGGATATTTTGGAAATACCCTTTATATATAAATATATAAACATATGTTTATATATTTATATATGTGTGTGCATATATGTTATATATATGCTGTATATAACATATGTGTTTATTTATATATAAATATATAACCATATATGTTTATATATTTATGTATATGTGTGTATATATACATATATAAACCAAGAACACAGGCAGTGAACTGTAAGTTTACCAGCTTCAATTAGCAAGCTTAGATGGTTTGATTCCTCTTCCTGAGATTTCTATACTATACTCCCTCAGTTGTGAATATTCTGTGTGAATTATGTTTAGCAATTACCATTCAGACATCTGGATAAGTTTTATTCCTCCTTTATATGCCTTTTCCTAAGAGTCTACATAAGAAAATGATATATATTCTCTAGAAATGATGCTGGCATTCTCAATCTAATGATATGGAGTAAGGATATTGTTAATGTTAGAAGTCTATACAGTAGAAATCATGCTCTCTAGAAATTTTCTAAGGTTCTACTCATCTCTGAGAAAAAAAAATATTTCCACTATTAATTATGGCTTTAAAATCTATTTTACAAATAATTTATTGGATAGTAACTTAAATATTAATTAAAATTACTTATACTGAGTACACTAAAATATTCTCACCCAAGATAATCAACTCTTAAAAGATTGGGTTTGGGTGAAAAAGAAACTCATTATTGCAGTTAGGAAGAGCAAATATGTTTGGGTTAAAGTATAACCCTGGGGCTGAAAGTCAAATATTCTCTCTAAATTGATGAAAGTGGGAAAACAAAAATTAGAAATCTTGGGATTATTTATGAGAGTTCTAGCAGATGGAATATAGGATAGATAATTCAGTATCCATTTTATATCACTACACTATTATTAAATTATGCTAAATTTGCAAAATATATTTATATAAATTGCTGAATAGAAACACCATATTAAAACATATTTGCATATGCAATCATATAGTAAATATGGCCTTTAATAAATAAGGTTCAAATAAAGTGTATTTAAATTTCAATCATAAGTCATAACTAGTCTCATCTTTGGCACATTAATTGCCAATATTAGAACACAGTCCTTACTGACTTATCAATATAAATACAATGCCATCAATGCAAGATGGGCCTATATTCAATAGACCTGTGCAACTTAATAAAAATTAAATTCCAAATTGAATTTATAAGAAGCGTTTATTGTATCTGTTTTAAGCTTAAAATAGAAATTCCCTCTCCCACCATTTACTAAAGAAAATTTGCATACAGACATCAATAATATACAAAAGAAAACACAAGTGTCCAGACATTCTTGCTATAATTAATTCAGTTTGGATAAAAACAAATTAAAATGATTAAATAATAGCCCCTAAATGTTATACAAAATGTCAAAAATATGTTCAGCTATTCTCAATAAGCTAAAAAGCTTTGAAACTTAAAATGTTGAAGTTATTCAATTATAGAATAATTATTAAAGTAGGAAGAAGATATTTCACCGATCCTATTAAGAGGCAGTATAAAATGTCTCTGATAAAAATGCGAAAGGTTAAAAATATGAACCTCTTTCAAATTTCAAATTAAAGATAATATATAATACACTTCTGTAGTTCAGTTACCTTTTAAAGTTAACAACAAAAAATAAGAGTTGCATTGTTGTTTTCATCCTGCTACCTTTTACCTGTTTGTCAAAGATTTGAAACCATGACTCTGAATAAGGGAGGGGAACAGGAATCGTTTCTTGGTGTTGTAGTTGGGAATAAGACTCTTAAAGGGCAAGTATAATTTACAACATGCAGGTAATTATAAAAATCACATAAAAAGAAGTAGGCTGTGACCATATTCTAAGAACAAAATTAAGTTTGCAAACCATATAAGACATGTTAGTATTCAATAGCATGTGCTCCATAAAAGTAAACAGTTATCTAATGTTTCAAATGTGGTCTTTAAATCTGTCAATGATAGCCACTAAGAACATTACCATTAAAAGATCTGTCTATAATTGCTTCATTTATTATCTACAATATGAAAAATGACATACCAAAGCATAAACTAGATGTCAGAGTCAATGAACATTAGTAATCTACCAATACGCCAGTGCAGTAAAGCCTAACCATTCAAATCTTTCAGATAACTGGACTCATCCCAAGATTTTACTTAGATATAGTCAAGTGATTTTTAAAATGACCTTTTAGTAATTAAATAAGAGTTATAGTAATATAATAAAAGAGTTAATAACTTTTTTTTAAAAAAAGCATGTCCTACAGTAATTTCAGATTTAGTCCAATATCCCTTATTATCTACAACTACAAGCCTATATAGTGAGAACAGCTGATGACAGATATGATCTTGAGGCATAACAGCAGTTTCAATTATCAGAGTAAAATGGGATTATTTTTTAATATTGCCTTTTATTATTTAAATATTTCACCAAGAGACTCAACAAAATATAACATTACCCAGAAATTCCATATAATAAATTGTTTAACTGTATTAGCTATTTTAAGGTCATTTATTTCTTGTCAAGCATCTCATACACTTTTCCTATTTGTAACATGATACAAGTTTATGCGACTATTTGAAATGTCTTACACTTGAGGATATGTTGTTCTAAAACATATCTATAGTGCTTAAGCCAAATGACCTAAATATTTGTAGTGTTCTAAAGTTTAGAAAGTGATCAAGAAATAGCACTATAAAAAGTAAAAATTTTTAAAAAAATCAAGATTATCATAATAGTCATCAAGTAGGACAACACCTATTACATTATCTGTACAAGAAAGAGCCACAAGAAGTGAAATAAAAAAGGGAAATCACATATCTGGAAATCTATTTCTGTATTTCAGAATCAGAATAAATTTGGTGTCTTATTCCAATCAACTTTGATAATGGCATTTTAACTAAATCATTGTCTTCTATCTTTTCAAGTAGTACTCTATAAAAAGTGATTACAGACAACTTCCCATCATCATTAGGGAATAAGGCACCCCAGGCTAGCTTTACTTAGTACCAGATGAACCTCTAAGTTTCCTTCTACTTCCACTCAGCATACATGCTCGGAAGACATTAATTTTATTTGGAGATTAGTACAATTTTATTAAAGATAGATGTACATAAAAATGTCCTAAATTAAGTTCCAGCTCACTATCTTATTATAGTTGGCAAGTTAGAGAATCAATTTATTTAGCCTCTCTCTAAGCTTTATTTCAGTAGCCTTCTGACTGCTCAGTAACCTGCTAACTGGGCAGGAAGATGATCCATTAGGAGGTTATTTTTGCAGACCACAAAAACAAATAGAGAACAACATTATCCAAACAAGGGCAAGAATAGTTGGAGGAAAACTGTGGAAAAAGATGTAAAAGTCACTACGAAAGCAGAACCAATGGAACTGGGCAAGGAAAGAGGGCCTGTAGTGCTGAGATTTTTGATGCCACTGGTGCACTCAAAGAACTGTTTCATACTATAAAATTAGTAACCAATTGGCCAGTAGATTAAAGCAGTGAATATAATCTGAGTGAAGTTTAAGTTGAAGAGAAGAAAATTTCAAAAGATTAAGAGTTTTAATGGTATCAAGGAATGTTTCTGCTCCTTTTGTTATTTTATCTTTTGAGAACGATTAAGGTAACCATGTAGGAAATTGACAGGCAGCATAGTGATCAGGAAATATTGACAACTGAAGAAAGAACAGAAATTTATTTGATAACCTTTTATTTTGGTGTAGCTAAAAAGACCTTTGAATGCCTCATCTCTTCTTCCTATATTAAACTGGTGGATAGTCAAAATGTTATATTTATTATCTAAGAAATAATCTGCAACACAAGTTGTAAGCTATAAGAAATATGGTAGGAATCATTGGCTGTAAAGATCATTGTCAGTAGAACATGTTAAATAGATTAATGGACTAATTTCTCTGTCCTCTCTGCCTCTCTCTCTCTCTTTCTATATATATATATATATTATATATATACAATATTATATATATTATATATATACATAATATATATTATTATATAACATATATTATATATAATAGTTTATTTTTACATCATTTTGTGGATTTTTCCATCTCAGTTGTAATCCCCTTGGGCTTCCCATCACCAAATCACCCATGTCCCATCACCATAGTCCAGTGCACTCCCTCCCCCCACTGTTTTTGATCCCATCCCCCACTCCACCCCCATAAAATGTCTCTGGTATATAGTTGTTCATTATTATTATTATTATTATCATTTTCTCCCCTGGTCCTTTATACTCCTTCTATGAGTGAAACCATCCGGTATTTTTTTTTCTCTTTCTGGCTTATTTCACTAAGCATGATCTTTTCCAGCTCCATCCATGTTGCTGCAAAAGGCATGTGTGTATTATTTTTGGTTGCTGAGTAATATTCCATTGTGTATATGTACCACATCTTTTTAATCCAGTAATCTACTTTTGGGCATTTGGGCTGTTTCCATGTCTTTCCAATTTTAAATAAAGCAGAAGTAAACATGGGGGTGCAGGTATCTTTTGAATCAGTGTATTTGTGTCTTTTGGGTAGATACCTAGGGGTGGGATTGCTAGGTCATATGGAAGCTCCATGTTTAGCAGTTTGTGTCCTCTCTATTTTTTTACCCTCTGTCCTGCCAACTCTATTTCACATATCCAACAAGATACCTTGTGCTGTTTTCAGAAAGGTAAACTTAGGTCTATTTTGCTTTATAGAAATAGAAACACAAATGGGTTAATTAAAAATTGATCCAATGTACCAGATACTAGTAAATACAGGAGAACAAAAATAAATAAAATAGCCTGGGCTATTAGAAGTGCAAAGTGACAGTTATAGATAGGTGAGGATGTTTTAGCTCAAAAAACAGTTTTGAAAATAGCAGTGTTATATCAAAAAGTTTCTGCTCTCTCCTTTATGTGTTATAAACACAGTCCATACAAAACACATCTACTTAAAACCCACTGCTATTCTGGGCACAAGTATTTAAAAATGACAATAAATTAGGAGTCTAACTTACCATCATTTTTTCAAAAAGATCCAGTACTTCCTTTTCTGACAAATTCAAAGATCGTTCATCATATAATGGCTGAGCTGCTGGAAACTCACTCATCACAGCTTGAGAATCAATAGGATGTTGAATAAGAGGTTTTTCTTTTTTGACAGTAGATTTCCTAAAACTTGTAATTCGGTCACGCTGCAAACAGAAAAAAAAAAAAGAAAGAAAGAAAGAAAGAAAGAAATCAAGAGCCATACACAAGAAGAACTGAAACATCAAAATGGCACTTAGTATAATATATATCATTACTGTCTTTTGACAATACAATACAAAACTATATTTTAAGCAGCAAGCTTCAGTTAGAGATTGTACTCATTTGAAACCCTCAGAAGGTGGCAAAAAGTAGCCCTTCAGTCTCAGAAGCCTGGGGAGTGAAAAGTACTCCTCAAAAGTGAAACTCTGCCCCTTGCTGTTTTATTTTGCACAGTAAGTAGGTGAAAAAATGTCCTGCATCAAAGTTGGATGGTTGTCTGAGGGAAAATGTGTCTGGTGACAACTAGGAAAAAATGAGACAGAAAATAAAGAGTTCTGATATACAATTCTAAAGGGGGAAATTATTGTTATGTTAATCTTTTTTACAGTGGCCAAATTTGTGACAAATATCTATGAAAAACTGTTAGTGAAGCACTAGAGTAAAATGGCTGAAAGCATGGATCCTGGAACCAGGCTACCTGAGACTGAATCTGCCACTCACTAGCTAAATCACACTGTACAAATTACTTGGCCTCTGCATGACTATTTCCTCATCTCTAAAATGGGGCTAAATTATAGGATATAATTAAATTAAATGTACTATTGTGAGGTTTAAATAAGTTGGTATGTGCAGTGTACTTATTTGCTCCTTATTGCTATTTGCTGCTACAAGAACTATTAGTTCCCCCCACGTTTTTTCTCCTCTAAAAAGGGAGCCAACAGGGAGCATGGAAACATACCATAAAAAGAAATATCTTATTCCCATAACTACTATTATGAAATATCTGCTATTTCATAGATATTGACAGTGAACCATTAATTCCATGTACAATCTCTAACTATTAGCTTGACATTTCATATAGTGAGTTAATGACCCCACTTATGTGTAAGCAGGCCATTCACTTTTAAACTACAAATAATAGACTTCAAAAATTAGTAATAACCATAAAACTGAATACAACTGTTTTATTTTTGGTTTGGTTAGCAAACACATGCATACTATTAGCTCACATTAAACATGCAGACATGTTAGCTATGAAGAAAGTATATCTTCACTACCATGTTATTGAGTCCCTATAAATCACTTCAACAATACAAAAAGCATCATTGAAGTTTTTACCATAGCACATTAAATTCCACTAATGCTCCATTAAAAGACATTTTGATTCATAGAACACTTATTTATTAAAAGTTTTACTTTGAAGGAAATATGAGACATTTTAATCAACTTATTTAGGATTACAATTCATTTTTGTACAATTGTTTACAAAGATATTATATAATTCATAATATTTTAGATTTGGGGAGAAACATAAAGACTCATCCAAATCACCTTTCTCATTGCACAGAAAAAAATGACTCACTAAATTAACAATCCTTTGTTTCCTATCTCACTGTTCACATTAATTTAAGGTTCATTTTTTCAATCATCTTGGGTTACATTTTTAAATTTACTCTAAACTCTTGGAGGAAAATAAAGCTCATTTAGATATGTAGTATATTTTTGAACAATTCAAGAAAAAAAATCAAGTAATCCCAAATAAGGTGAATATACATCTGAGAGTTAAATTTCCCTAAAATATTTAGTGGACATAAAAGCATTTAAATATGCAATCAACCATTAAATTAATACATCCCTGCTCCTTTCCCTGTATGATAATTAATTATATATATAATTAATAATTATTTTCATACTGTTAGCTATAGTTTACTGAGTTATTTATATATATATTACCACTATTTAGAAAATTGGCTTTTGCTCTTAGATATATCTTGGTAAGAAGATGAGGCTAACCATATACTTTCAGTTCATTAAATCACCAACAATATTTTCCATTATTTGTAAATAGGAAATTTCACAAAGAAAAAAAATTGGCACGGACCCAAAATACTATGTTTTTAAGTTTAATCTATAAAAATGGCATATTTAAATTTTGAGCCCATCATTTTTTGAGCCCCTAACTATTAATAAGTTTTACTTGGCTCACAAATAATTAAGGATTTAAAATTTAGTATCATATATGCTATTAAAACAATGATCTTATCTTTCTTTCTATTTAAATTATTTTATTCCAATATTATATTACTGGATTGTAATAAATTAGAACATACTGAACTATGTTAATATTAAGTTTTAACATATTCATAGTCAATTTTCTTTGATATCAAAAAAGGAAACTTTTGTGTCTTCCAGAGTTAGATTTACAAGAGAGAATTTAAAATTTTTGATTAAGGTAACTAAATATATCTGTATGATATAATTTCAAAATTTTCTGAGATCTTATACAATATTCAAAAAATAAAAGTCACTCCATTGAAAAATTCTATTTACAATGTGTTTCATAAATATCCAGACATTTTATATCTTACATATACAATGCTTTAATGTCCACCCACTTTAATAAAAAGGCAACATGCAAAAGTAATATAATAACATGCTACTAAGATGACCACCTTACCACATCATCTGCCAAAGTTTTTATTTGAATGTTCTATTAAATCAAAAAGGGGGAAAAAAACTTGTCAGATAAGAGAATTTTATACAGAAAACAAGAAAACAACAACTGAATGATTTTCATCTTTTATTTTATCAACTATAGTAAAAAAGAATTAAAAAGTTTGTAGATGTATGAACATGCACATTCTTTACAAACAAAAAAAAATCTACTTCCTCAGGATTAAAAATGAAGGCAAGGAGATTTTTTTATAAGATGATTCCCAAGGTCCCAAAGTCATATTTGGATCAATATAGCATCTTCATAAGCTCTGTCAAAGTTTCAGAATGAAAAATTATATTTCAAAGTTTTAGAATGAAAAATGATTTTAAGATATATATTTTTTAAGTGAAGAATAGAACAAGTATCATTTAATAGTAATTACATAGCTCAGTCTCAGAACTTAAGAGTTATATCTGATAGATGGAAATGACACCTTTATAGATATTCTAAATATAAGTATGGGTTCTGTTAATATATGCTCATTTTGAAAACCTCCCAACACTTTTTTGTACCTGGTTTTCTACTTCTAATGCTGAAAAATTATTGGTAATGGTATATTCTTAACAGAATATAATGTTTAATAACTATTATGTGACACAGATGGACATCACAATTTGAACAAGAATACAGCAAAACTAAAGTAGTAGAGCAATGTGAAAATAAAGTAAGCAAATATCTAAACATTTAGATAAATATTCAATGATTCTGTACTTCGTCACCTTACAAGAACATACGATGAACATGAAAGGCAGTTAATTGTGTTCAAGTGCCAATTCAGCAATGTGATTTAAGAACAATAGTTTTAAAAATCACGTTTGAAACTTAAATTAACCCTTGCAACCACATGCTGTGAAATCCATCTTTTTTTTATAACAGAAACTGCTGCACATCTACTTAGCCATGAATATTCAAAATATAACCATCTCATTGGTGTGGAGAAATACATAAATTTTAAGTGAGAATTATTTTATCTCATGATTTCATGAAATTGTTTTCAAATACCACCAGCCAAATTTTGTTAAAGATCAATCTCATCTGGATCAGCTGGGAGTAAATTCATTATCATAGGTATAGCTCTTTTTCTACTCTTATTCTAATTTCCTCAGGAATCTACACTTCTACATGATTACCCTATACCCTCATGACATCCTACTAACACAACCACCAGTCAATCTTTACTATTCAGGAAAATTAAAAGAAGAGAGGGTTGTTTACATCAGTAATGAAGCCATTTTAGGAGAATCAATTCACCACAGAACTATCTTTGGCAGGTATTTTCTCTCAATTTTCCCTGTGGGTTATAAAAAACTGTCTTACATACAATGAAGAGTTTACTGACTTCTTGTAACGTAAAATGAGAAATGTTAAAGCCTTAAAAGTTAAAACCTGCTACAATCCAAATATGTGCCTGTCCACCTATGTGCTTATTAGGCAAATTATATAGTCCTTCAAGCACCTCCTGCTTTTCTTCACATCCTTTGGGATTATAAACTCAAGGTAGGAAACATTGATTATTTCTAAAGTAAGATTATTAGTTGGGGGAAAATTATGATTTGGTTTAGTCAAGTTTTCTAAATTAAATTAACATATGCCTGAAGTGATTTGCATCTGTAACTCAACTGAATCTATGTCTACAGGGTAATCACAGGAGGAGAGAAACAACAAAATAAATTGCTAGCAATATTTACATCCCTTTCTGGAATATTCAAAATCACAGATACCCCTATGGGTGGGTAACTTCTTTTACCATCATTATAGAGAGGATCAAGCATCAAGCATTATCCCAAAAACACATTCCTTTGACACCCATAGTAATTCCTCAATACATTTTTACATGGCATCTACTGAACTCACCCTGGCCAATATATTCTGTTTTCCCAGTGGCTAATTAGTTTGTTATTCTCCATATACCAACCATATATAAAATTAGATTCTTAAGTCTTTCATAATTCTTAGATTTTTACCTTCCTAATTATAACTTAATACTGACACACATCTAAGATTCAGATCATGTCTTTCAGCTTTCTGGTTTTGGGCCAGGAGGGAAAAAATGGGGATACAATTTATAACCCAACAGAAACACTTTATGACCACAAAGAGGGAAAAATGCTTTCCCAGAGAGCCAGGCAGACTTTTAAATAGAATAACATTTATGTTAATCACACTATCTGCATTCAGCTTATCCAAGTTTAAGTCTTCCATATCACCTAGTCTCCTCCTTCTCCTTCATTTCCTACAGCCAAACAGTTGCCAGGACCCACCGTAACTTTCTGAAGTTCTCTATTCATTCCCACACAAATCATCCCGGTTTAAATTCTAACAGAATACAATAGCCAACTAGTAATTACTTCTACTTCTATGCTCTCCTCATTGCCAAATTACCATAAAGCAAGATTTTATTCAAGCCAACATAACCTCTGTAGTAACTTCCTAAGCTACTCCTTGCTTCTACCTTTACCCTCCTAATTTCCAAAACACCAGAGTGATAGTGTTAGAACTGAAGTCATATCATGACATTCCTAAACTGAAAACTTCCCAACGGTTATTTTTTACTCCAAGTGAAAATCAAAATCCTTACAAGTCTTCCTCATGCTCTAGATCCATACACTTTCTATAGCCTTCTGACACCATCTCCCATTACTCCCCCTTTTGTTTACTCAGATCCGGTCACACTGACCAGCTTAGGGGTCCAGAGTAAGGCAATAAGCTACATATACTGACACTTGCTGCTCTCTGAAATGTTCTTTTCCAGGGTCCTCCCTGGGGGTGTACCGGGTTAAAGTACAGCACTAGGAAACTAGGTGCAGCCGCTTCAGCATGAGTTTGATCCCCGGTCAGTGACGTGACCCACATGGCACAGCAGACCTCTCCTGTGTCCCCTGCTGCTCCCCTCAGCAGTGTAATCGGTCAGTTTGCTCCACACTGTCTCTGGTGAATCCTCTCACCTCCCTCTGCCCCCCAGCACATCTGGCCTGTAACCCAGTTCTGTATGCATAATAAATAAATCTTTTTTAAAAATCAAAATGTTCTCTTCCATCCATATGGTTTATTCCATCAATCCCCCACCCCCCATTCTGAGATTTTGCTCTCTGAGGCTCTATCTATCCTGCCAGAAAAGAAATATCCACCTCCTCCTATTTCCAGTACTCCTAACCTAATTTCCCATACTCTACTTTTTTCAATAGGATTATTCACTTTCTAACATAATACATAACTTTTATTATGATTATAATTGTGACCATCACCTTCATTTTGTTTCTCCTGCTAAAAATGTGAACTCCACGAGAATAGGGATTTTTGGCTGTTTGATTCAGAGACATACCCCTCATGCCTACATCAGTACTTGGCACAAAGAGGTTCAATAAAAATGGTGACACTCACACCCCCATTCATATTCAATGCCCCAATGACATAAAGAACACCAATAATTTAACATGGCATTCAAAGCTCTGTATTATTCAGTCTTAGAGTATCTTCTACTTCATCCACCATGATCCACATATTCTACAGAAAACAAAAATAGAAAACCTTTTCCCAGAATATTCCCTATTATGTCCTGTTTGTGCACTCACACTTTGCTGGACCCTGAATATTAACCTGTGTTATGCTAGTCACACTTCTACTTCCACAGTTTCCCTTGAATTTAAAGTTTGGTTATTGGTAAACCAAATGTGGATCCTTGATTAAAAATAATACTGGAGGAGAAACATGTTTTGCTTAGTGTTTCCTTAAAGATTTTTTTTTTCCCAAATAGGCATCTTCAAGGATGACAGGACACCTTAAAGCAAATAAAGTCTTGTACACATGTAAAATTTACCCCAATTACATATAACAGAAAACCATAAAGAAAAACATCCTGCTTCTAATTTCTTGATTTTTAAGTTTTGTTCAACTATAATGTATACCTATACACATTATATCCAATGTGTGTGTGTGTGTGTGTGTGTATAATATGTATAATGTGTATATGTCATGTATATATTAGACATTAGATCTAATGTGTCTGTATATCTATAAACATTTCATTTATATGGATATTCTCTCATAAATGTCCAACATGTAAAAATCTTTCATAAATATAGTCTTCATACTGTTACCTATAATTCATATTTCTAATTGTTCATAAGAAAAGATACAAATCTGGTCTGTTAAAAAAGGAAAATATTTGAACAGAATTGAATAGTTTGAGTTTCAGAAGGGGTGTTCTTGACCATTTTACATTAAAAATAAATTAAAATTGCTATATGAGTGTCAATTAAATAATCTTCAATAGAAAACAAATGACTTCTGTCACACGTGTTTTTATCTATTGGTCAAAGGAGCACAAAAGACATTGAGAAGAATAACAAAAAAAAATAAATAAAACCTCAAAAACAGTTGAGAAAACAACACAATGATTCTTTGATAGAATTAAATTAGTTATCTTTTGTGAAATGAACTTCACAGCATATTTTTAAATGGTTATGTTAAACACATTCTCATTCAGAATGGTATTCTACATTACCTGATACAATTTATATAGGTGCATGCATTTTTCTCTCCCATTACATGCAAGCAGACATGGATTTTACTCCTGTGTACGAATTAGGGTACTGTACAGTTAAAAAAATTAAAAACCAAAAAAAATAAAAATCTTTGTTAGAGTCAAACTCCTCAATTCAAACACTGATTAAAGTCATTTCAGTCGTTTCTATTGTGCAAATGTAATGATAATGGTCATTAGGATAAGGGCATATTGCACCAATAAGTATAGTGACCACACATTTTCATTAAAATCAACACTGAAAAGCAATAAGCTTGTGCATTAGTCAAGCAGTTTATTACACTTCATTTATGATTAATTATATTAAATATAAAGTAGTACAGTGTTATATGAGTAGTATATAATTACAAAAGTATCACTCCAGAGTTTCAACCTCTTAAGAATAAGAGAAACAGCTGATTTACTTGTAAACTCTAATGTTAAAGTTCTGATTGAATTGTAAGAGTCATTA